CTTTTTGAGGTTTAAAAACATGCAAGTTTAGAGGCTAATTGCGCGGTTTAGAAGTATTTTCTTATAATTTAAAACATATCTACGCGTAGATCATGATGTTCTGTTAGAATCGCTGAAAACTGTTTTCCAAAATTCGCAGCGGGTAGTGTACAGCATCGATTTCTGTGGAACCCAGTAGCTGTCAAAACTTTCACATTTTTACGAATAACTCGGAAATCGTAAATTTTTCAGGTAAAACGTTTGACACAAACTTAACTTAAATTTTGACGACAAATCTGAAAATGAATGAAAAAAGGGGCGGTTCCATTTAAAAAACCAAAGTTGGTAACTACCACACGTTTATGATACACCCCGTATATTGGAAAGTAATTTTAAAATGTGGACCTTTTAAACATGAAAAACTTCGTAGGTCGTATTTTCTTGTAAAGTTCATATTTACTGAGATATCGCACTTTGACGCACTAATGAGCAACCCTGTATATTTTTAGTTTTATTAAAAATTAACTTCAACCGTGCTAACACAAACAAACCGAAAGGAAAACAACGCAAAAATACGTTACGCATTCAATTCTTTTCAAGGTATTTTCAGGTTATTAATTTTTACTTTCTGTATATTTTTTAGTTTTATCTAAAAAATCACGTCAACCGTGCTAATACAAACAAACTAACTCAAAATTAACCGAAAGGAAAACAACGCCAAAATACGTGGCAACACCGGATTGTGGTGAATTCCCGAATGACACAAATAATCCGACTACCGACCCGCAGATATTTTTTCAGTCCTGGATGATTGCGCTTGCGCGTATCATTGCCGCGTTGCCGGTTTGATACTTCCATTGCAAACGACCACCTTTTAAGTTCAGTGGCTGTTGCTGAAATTCATGCTAATTTCATCGTTAGCGATTATACAATTAGCTCCCCCAGTAAAGATTTGGATTCTTGGAGTTTTAATAGTCATGTATCTTGTTTGTTTTTTATTGTTTTCTGCTTTCTAAAGTCATGAACAGATATATTTAAATGTTGTCTATGGCCTTCACTTTAATTATACATATACATGCCTGTGTGTTGTCATCTATAAGATCGCATCTTGAACACAAACAAACATTAACCAGAAACAATTGACTAAAAAAAAGTAAAAGACTATGTGGCCCACGTTGAAGCACCATGCGTTTCGTCCCGGGCACCTATTGGGCACTCGTCAGTAAGGCCCTGCTTTATACGCTGGATACAGTATGTAGTATTGGAAGTTACGTTTGAACCGAAACGGCGCAGATGTTACGCGGTGACATATAGCTGGCATTTCGGTTGGAGCTGCTACTTGAGAAGTGGCGGATCGAGTTCGCCACACGACTTTCTCTGAGGTTAGGCGTCGCTATACGAGCAAGGCGCGACGGTTAAAAACCAAGTATGTACATAGCGGCAACTTGGCAGTGAGACGCGCAAGCGCAATCAGCCAGGACTGGTGCGGACGTTAAGGAAAAAATATCTGCTATCGACCCGCTAGATAACCTCAATCAATGGGCGACGTTAGAGAAGATGCGGAAAACACAAATATTATGCATTTTAGCGACAATTTTGCATATGGATTTATGAATTGTTGATAGCTAAAACACGATTTAGCACCCGACAATCGCAATTTCGTACATAAATAAGTGGTTTTGGGAAACGACAAGTTACTTTAAGTTAAAACCGTCAATTCCACGATTTTTCGGGGTTGGTATAGGTTTCACTATACAATTTTTGAAGATTAATGGAAAAAGCCACTTAGACCATCCTAACACAAGCCAAACTCACCCAAGTAGAATAATTAAAATTACAAAAAACTAAAAGTGAAATCTTTCCCTTGGTAAAGTAATACGCGGGAACGTCGCATTTAGTTGATTTCGGCAAATTAACCAATGACCAACGATTCTATCAGTATTCATGTATGAATTCGATGCGTTTGGGGAAAGCAAATTTCAAGTGTATATGTGTGACTTTTAGAGAAATCTATGGATGATTCAAGATTTTTCTTACTTGGTGAGCGTGTCCTTTAGAGTGCCTCAGAATGATTAGGTTTTTCTTGCTTTACTTTAAAGGATATATTCAATTAAGCAGTTTCAGAAAAAAGTTTTTCCAGTTTTCAGAAAAAAATTCCTGAAAGGTCCATAAATTAGAAGAAAAACCACTCACAAAGTTTGAGGAAAATCATCATTTCCAGGCGCAAAACGTTTTTAGTTAATAAAAATTGTTTCTTTGGATACCTAGCATGTAGATTCATTCAATTTGGGTCGGCTTAGATTATTTCGGACTTTTCAGGTTATTAATTTTTACTTTTTGTATATATATTTTAGTTTCATCTAAAAAATCACTTCAACCATGCTAACACAAACAATAAGTGGCAGCACCGCATTGCGTTGAATTCCCGAAAGGGACAAATAATCCGCCATCTGACTATCGACCAGCTAGATAACCTAAATCAATGGGCGACGTTAGAAAAGATGCGAAAAACCCAATTACTATGCATTTTAGCGAGATTTTTGCATGTGGATTTATGAGTTTTTGATAGCTCAAACGCGATTTAGCACCGGACAATCTCATTTTCGTGTATAAATAAGTGGTTTTGGGAAAGCAAATTTCAAAAGTTCGTAAGCGTGTTTTGGCTTCATTTATGGAGCATCCAGCATTTTTTTTCGGGAACAAAACTAAAGAGATTGATTAATTTTTCCAATTTATTGTTACAATCTGTATCCCCAACCTCACTTTCAAAATTTCGAGTAATTTAAATACCATGTTGTCGATTGGTCTAGTAAATAGTATATTGGTATTTTCTAAGAAAAAGATTTCTGCCCTTACATGAAGCACTACCAAAAACAACTGTTTAATTTATGAGCAATTAAAAATAAAAATATTACTTGCAAACAAATTCCTCAATTTAACAATAACACCTGATTCAACAAAAAATATTTCTTTGCAAACATCGGGCAGATACAGAGACGCTCAAGCTTGCACATGAGTAAATTTCAATCTGGGGCTTAACTGCAAATAATGACGTCACTGCCAAAAGGCTTAAGATAAACTATACAGAGTATGCCAAGTTACAAAACTCGCTGGAAACAATTAGCTACAAAGCAAATGTATCAATTAAAACATAAGACACTAAATCTTTCAACTCCAAAGAGGCAAAAAGTCCTTTTAGCCGGTAGCGCATTTGATCAGTCCGGAATACCATGCCTAAAGTTTTCCAGAATGTTTGCAAAGAACCATAAAAAGGAGTGCTGGAGATTTTCGAAAATGCGTCCGATTGGTTTTTTTTTTAATTTTTTTTTATTGCTTAGATAAGTGAAAATATATTGAAAATATTGATGAGAATTTTACTAAAGCAGCAACAGAAGCGTAATAAACAAATCGAAACTAATCCAAATACCGACCAAAAGTGTACGAAGAAGTCAAGTACAAACAAAATATGGATTTGGCAAATGCGCGACATTTCCCGAACTATGTCACCGTGACAACGGTTTGACACACATCGCTGACGTGACGCTATCCTTTTTCATCTTATGGAAAACTCTTCAATTTCAATAAATGGAAAGTGGTTAAGAGCCGCATTTTCGCTAAAAACCACTAAGAAAAGTTTTAAAAGTGAAAACAAATTAAACATTTTCTGAAACCTGGTATAAAAATCACCATTCCAACTTTCACAGTAACAAAGTCGAAAAAAATCTTAGTTAAACGGTGCCAATTGGGGGCAAAACTTTTCATCGTTCCTATAACCTGTTCTATAAATTCCTGACGTCATCAATATTTAACCTCTATCACCCTGCACATACGACATTGTTTTATAATTTCAGCTGTCAAGATCACACTGGAAAACAACAGAAGACACATGCAAAATTATTTATGTTTGTTTTCGCATTTCAAAAAAATGACCATTTACACACACCCATGCTAACCTTGTGTGTTCATTGGAAAAGTTTGACCTGCTAAAACCCTGTTAAATATCTGCTACAAGAAAAAAACAGTATTTATAGCATGCAAATCTAGTTGCAACCAATAACAGAAAGTTGCCAGGGGGCATTTTAAAAGCTAAACTTACTGCAAGCTTCAATAATCTTTCGGTAGCCACCGTGTAATCCATGTTGCTAAACGGTACCAGGGAGTTTTTAACAGATGGAATCATCCATTGTTGAATAACCGCCAAAATAATCTGGGTGCCCGCCAGTACCTCGAAGGCTCTCCTGAATACAAACCTAACAAAAATGCTTGTTAAAACAAGAATTTTTATATTCAACAATGTTTAAAATAGACTAAGAAAAATCCTACAATTTGTGGGCTTTATGTCATTTTGGGAGCAGTTGTGGTAGCTGTCAAATACTTACCAGTGAAAAAAATACGAATAAATTTCACAAACATTATTTTTATGATTCGAATTTAAGAAGCAACAGTTTCATATTTTAAGTTTCAGTAGGCCGTTTCAAGTCATATAGAAATAAATTGGGTGCGCAAGTGTATTGTGACACTGTCAGTAGACAGTGCTTGAAAATTACAGGAGAAGTTAGATCCGGTGCTCGGGGTGGCCATTTTATAGGTCCATGGGTTCAGCAACAATAACCAGATTATATTTCTGAATATTTACCTTTTTCGAATTCGTTCCGTTTTGGCAAAATTCAATTCGTAACACAGAGTTGGGGCCAATATGAAATAGTAGAGATCGCGCAAGTTCAAGTTATCCGGATATTGCTTCAGACTTGCATTTTGAACTTCACTGGTTTCTCGCTCCTGATTTAGCGCTTGCTGTTCCTTCCGCAGATTACTGAGCGACACCGACTGTCTTCTTAGAGAGCTTTTTCCGGTTTTTTGCCGGGACATGCGACACCACATGTTCACCTGGACGTACGACCACATTTTCAGAAACAGGATGCTGTACATCGTGCAAACTGTTGATGCCCCAACTAAAAAAAACAAAAATTGGTTTAATTGAAATATGCAGGGTGTCTGTATATACATAACATATACAATGTTTTCATATAATTATTTTGCAGCATCTTCTTTTAAATCCTGTCACTCTTAGTTGCCATGACGTGACCACTTAATGCAATCAGATGCCCAAGGAATGCTGACAGCTGTCAGTTACTTTTTTAAAATCATTAATAATCATGCCCGGGCGCTTCAATTATACAAATTGCGGCTTTTTCCAGAGCGGAAAATCCCTGACTTTTTGGCACAATTTAGTAGCTAGACAATTTTATCAATTCAAAGTTTTTATTTTCACATAAAATAAAATTAATAGTGGAAAGAGATACTTATTTTTGAAGCTGCACGCTTTCGCGAGAAAATGGGGGGTTACAATTTGAAAAACCTTAGATTGAAGATTTTTTTCAAACAATCTGTATGAAAGTAGGACCTGACAAATGCTTTTCTCAGTAAATTACACATTTCGCGACTCAAATAACGCAATTGTGCAAAATTTCCCTTGTGGAATATTTTGTCATTTGCAGATTATCAGTAAGAACATTCGGGATTGCATGCAAATATTTCCAAAACCGTTAGAAATACGTATACAACTTCATACATAAAAGTGTCCAGAATCTCAAAGATTCTACAAAACTCAATTTTGTAGTAATATATACAGGGTGGACCATTTAAACTAAGCGACTTGACGTGTACTTTAGGAACAAGCGGAAGTGTTAATTTAAAAAATAGTTTTTAAATTGAAAACTTTTTAGGCGCTTTAGCTTGACCGGCAATTTTCGTAATTATTGCAACTGTATTTTTCGAGTTACGGATAGCTGGAACATCCTGAATGAGCAGCACAGTAGACAAAAATTTATTAAATCCTTACCTAAACTGAAACCTTCCTTGACGTGAATGAGGACCATTGGCACCAGAATCACTGACAAAATATTTACCACATGAGTACCCATCCCTAAACCATTTGGAACCACTTCCTGAAAAAATACACACATTTTAGCAACAGTTTAATCAAATAGTCGCACACTTACCGCCGATAGCGCCTTTTCTATGATCAGGCACAGAAGCACGGGAACAACGTGATCTGGAAAAGGGAGAAAAGCGGTCGAAAATTGTCGAGATTTTGTTCGAATCCACCTTACATAGAAGTAAAATCAGTGTAGGACATTCGGAGCCTTCACCGTTGACCAAAATATACAGCCATTCGATTGGATCCACCCTGATCCCATATCTGAAATACCAGGAAATAAGGAAACCAGAACTAGGTGTGCGTGCAAACGTTTCTCTCACTTGATGAAATTTTCCAAAAGCAGTCTCAACCCACCGATGGACAGCAGCAAAAAGGCCCAATTTACGAATCCGGTAAAATTGTTGAACCCTGAATTCCAGGTGAACAGTGAATCTCTGGGCTTGTGGCAACTAGAAAATAACACACAAGTGAAGCCAATAGCGCAGATAATTTTTTCCTATACGTTATCCGTTTCAAATACAAGCCAAACTTTGCCTTTTTAATGGGACATCCTGTATATTTTTCCACATTTTAATTGGCTCAATTTATATTTGCTTTAAGTACAGGCTTTTCGATGTCTGTTATTTCACGCGTTTATGACTAAACAATCGGTCCAAAAACGTTGCCAGGTTGGCAAAGTTTTCTTTGAAAGTTTGTTTACAAAATGAATAAACTGGTCCTTCGAAAGTGCCTATCTATATATGGATGTTATTTGATAAATTACTGAATATGTACTTAGTCTCATTTATATTTCGATAATGTTTTCGGTAGAACTAACAAGTAACTTTCCCTAATTATTCGTTTACTGGGAATTTGTTATAATTTCAGAGTTAGATGGAAAATTATCGATATTTTAGAACAGCGCTAAATTTAATTTCTATCAGGTTAAATTGTACCAATCATAGAAGGCTAGTCAGGACATTCCGCAGACATCCCACAGAAGAAAACCGAATCGCCCATAACCGACAAGGGCAACTGCTGAAAGAAGCCTTACTGAACAGGAAGGAAGGAACAGGAACCAGAAATGGGAACACCGCTTGAAAGTTGAATCCTGAGGACCAAAGCATATGGAGTTTGCAAAAGGCCCTAAGAAGAGAAGATACCAAGATTCCAAATCTCCACGGAACTCAAGGTTTGGTATTTACAGATGGCGGTAAAGCTAAGGCGTTTGCGGAAGCAATCGAGAGTGAGGCCAGGGCAAACCACCACCCAAACGATACAACATATACACAAGCGATATATGGGATATACACATCCCAAGACCTGCCAATACGACCCTGGCACTCTTTACAGATGATACGACCCTTCTGACATCCTCATGGCGCAAGGACCGCATCAGGCAACGCTCCAGCTTGCAATTGAAGTTGAAGATAAATGCAAAGAAGAGTCAGGCCCTACTTATTGGCAGGAAGCAGGACAGTGTCGATGGCAACATCACCATAGAGGGACAAAACATCGAATGGGAAAGAAACCCTAAATATTTGGGTGTTGTTTTAAATATGCAGCTGAACTGGAAAAAGCATATAAAAACAGCCATCAACAAGGTTAAAGCAACAACTGCCAAGTTGTGCTTACTCCTCAATAGAAGAAACCAGATGAATATTAGGAACAAGCTACTCCTCATCAAGACCATATTCAGGCCGACACTGGCGTCTGCCTCCACTGCGTGGGGATATGCAGCCGAGTGTCACTTGAATAGACTTCAGGCCACAGAAAACAAACTTCTGCGGATGGCCATAGATGCGCCCTGGTTTGTTAGAAACTCCCAAATCTACAGGGACCTGGAGTGGGAGCCACTAAGAGAGTTTCTCGCAAGGAAAGCGAAAGCAGACTGAGAAAGCTGGAAGGCACTCTAACGAAGAGCTGAGAAACCTTGTCAGTGACACTCCTGAAGATCTGGGACCCAGGGAAAAAAAGCCTAGACACCAACTAGCCCACTAGGGCAATAGGTAGCAAACGGCGTAAGATGTAAGTGTGGTTATAATGTAGTGTTTGTAGTAAGTAGCATGCAAGTATAAGTAAGGCATTAAATTAATAAGATGCCCCTGCTAGCTGCTTGCTATGGCAAGGGGATGCTATGGCATACGGATGCCGGAGCTGACAAATTCTTAGAGAGAACTACAAGTTTTAAAGGATAACTCCCGAAACCTCGTAGTACAAAAAAGGGGTTTTTTAGTTGGTAAGAATCTAATACTACCCGGGGTTCGGAACAATGGGTGTCTTTGCCAAGATTTTTATTCCTCCAGCCGCCGGGCAAACAAAAAAAATGCGCATATTACACAATATACAGGGCGAGTCAGTTTAAAATAGCAGGAGTTTAACGGTCCATAAAAAATAGAATTTTAAGATGAAAATACCATTAAATCATATATTGAAAGACAGACAAAGTAAACATTTTAGTTTAATTTTTGCAAAATATTTCGCGAAAATATTAAGACGCAAGTTACATATGTAGTATCTGCTGATAGCACAGATACTTCATGGGAACCGCTGACGCCGCAGCCATCTTCCGCTAGAAGTCGCCAAGGTTCACACCTGAACCCCTGGGAACTGCTGACCAATAAGTTTAACCAATCTTTCATTTTAATGTATAAATATAGTAATATTCATTCTTGCTTCTAACCTCGACCTGAACAGTTGTATTAAAGGAATAAACCTGTTTTTAAAAAGTCTGTCTATCGTTCGTTATACGTAATTCGCAGTAATAAAACTATGAATTCTGGTGCTTATCGCCATACCACATCCAATCATGTCAACATTTTCTCCAAATTTAAAGAGGGCACCAAATGGCATTATTATTAAATTTTTAAACTGTAACAACTTTTTTGTGCCATCTCGGTTTTAAAAAATAATTTTGCGTTCATATTTACGTGAAAAAGTTTTCTTGTTTGACTTCGCTAAAAGTAACCGTTTTCGAGTTTTCTTTAACTTTTTAATTGCAAATTAATACACAACAAATTAACAAATTTAAATGAAAACAATTCTCGTATCTCTTGAAAATCGGTTCTTATCCCCAACTTGAGGTATTCAATGGTTTAATAGTTTTTCAATGTTTAACTATTCTAGTTACAGGTACCGTTAACCAGTAGGTCAAGAGAAACATATAAGTGTCAACTGTCATTGTCATTCGTCGATGTCAACATTTCTGTGTTTTCGAGTTTTTTTATCAAATAACTTTTTAATTGCAAATTATTAGACAATAAATTAACAAATTTAAATAAAAACAATTCTCGTATCTCTTGAAATCAATTCTTATCCCCAACTTGAAGTATTCAATAGTTTAATAGTTTTTCAATGTTTAACTATTTCATTTCGTATTAATACTTAATTGTAAGCGTTAACCAGTAGGCAAAGAGAAAGATAAGTTTCAACTGTCATTGTAATTTGTCAATGTCAACATTTCTGTGTTTTCGAGTTTTTTTTTAAATCACTTTTTAATTACAAATTAATACACAACAAATTAACAGATTTAAATGAAAACAATTCTCGTATTACTTGAAAATCGGTTCTTATCCCCAACTTACTTAATTGTAACAGTTGACCAGTCCAGTAGGCAAAAAAAACATTTAACTTGCACCTGTCATAACTGTTACTGTCATTTTTCAGCGTTAACATTTCAGTGTCCAGAAGTAAGTATGTAGATTTTAAACTGGTTTTGGTGTGTTAATTTGACTTATTTGCACCGGATTGGAATGGTAAAATTGACTATTTTATTTATTTACTTATTGCAAATTTGGCAAACTTATCATGTCCAAGTTTCGCCAAATTTGCGAAAATTTATGTCCGACTTTCTAGATCAAAATCAATTTCAAAAATCTAGTTGATCTGGATGATTCTTTTAAAGAAATTAATCTAATGATTTTCAATTGATTTCAGAACACACAAGTTTCAAGTAAAAAAACATAATTTTATAAAAATTTATGCGGAATTATTTGGACAATATATTTTACAATCAGAGAAAATATTCAAGACTAAATCTTCCGAACCCAAGAATAACTGCAAAATCAAATTTTTGTTAATGTTTATGGCACAGAAGGCGGTTATGAAAATATGAGCAATAGTACTTATGAGTAGAACGACATTCAACATTGCCGTATTGCGATAAGCCCCAGAATATACTGCGGCTCCTTACGGGACACCTTTGACCATCAACAGTAGAGGTGACCTTTTTTCTTAGAAAAACTTAGGACAGATCGTCTTCCTTCGAGCCCAAGAATGTCGCTGCGCTCGTTTGATCATGTGCTTAACGGAGATCCTGTAGAATTTATTGCAGTATCTTAAGATTTGCCTACGGTTTTTGAAGTGATAACTTTTTATGGAACGGTGAACAGATTTTTCTCGGTAACGGCGGCTCCCCCTCCGACTTCTTCGCGACTGAGGCTTGGGACGCACATATGCACTTTGAATTCGACATTTATCTCTTAGTGCGGGTGCATCTGTAGATCTGATAAACTTTTCAAATACAGATTGCGTTATTAAACTGACGGTGATTTTGATATATCAATTAGTGACTGTGATATTGGTGTGTTTGGTGCAGTTTATTTTATAACGCTGATAACAATAAATCAACAAATTAACAAGGGAGAAGCTGCAGATACTGCAAATACTAAGTAAGAGTTCTCATGTACTATATGCATGTTCGAGTTTCGCGTTTTTTTTTAATTTCCAATTAAAGTACACACACAATTATACACACTAAAGCAGTTTAAGTGCAAGAAAGTGCGGATCGTCCATAAATTAGCAGAAACATGTAAGTATTACAAACTTTTCAAAATCATGTTCAAACGACCGGGTATTTATCATTGCAAATAAGATTGCACATTGCCGCGTACTATTAAATATTGTTTTAAGAACTAACAATCGATGTTGTGCAACAAAATTGTGCCTAAGATCCACTACAATAAAGTTTTTGAAAAACTGTTGGACCTATTTTAAATCGCGTGATTGATTGCGAACGCAAATTCGTATCAAGAAAAGATTAAATTAAATTAAATCGTATCGATAGAATACCGGTACCGATTCCCTATGTCTTACCCTCCGTCTGTAGTCCAGATGCTGCCCTGATGATATCCATTTGCCTTGTATTGCACGATTCAAAGTTCCGATTTCGTAAAATATTACTACCTACTTGTTTAGTGATTTTCATCGGAGACAATTGTTAAACCAGATGTTGAGCGGATATTTTTCAAAGAAGCCAGGGTCAATTTATGAAAAACGCTCAAGATTAAGTGCAAATAAAGTGACAACTATTATTAATAACTTTTAATGCAACAATATGTTCTATTATTTGTTATTTTATTTTGTAACAACAAATTATCAATATTTAGATATATGATAATCAATGTAATCTTTCATATTTAACATAAAATGATAAACATCATTACTGTTTTGTAGTAATATATAATAAATATGTTTTGAATTTAATTGAAAAAATATTTGAGTTTACCTCGGTTATTTCAGAAAACCTGGGTTCCGTGTTCTTATTTTCTATCACGCAACGCATTCTTGATGTTAAGACGATACGAATCTCTCTTCAGCTTATAGTTGCAAAATATGTAAAACGAATTTATTAGGGCTTATTTTCAATGATTAATTGTGTTTACCACGCATCAAAATTATTTTTTTCCCTTCATATGCCCTTTGATTCCTTTATGATTAAACCTTCTCAATTTACTTAAATTGTTTTAGTATTGGATTAGTCCAGTAAGAATATTTTTTTTAATCTACGCGCGATGGCGTACACTATGTATGTATACATATAGTGTGTCAAGTGTAACCTGTCTCTACAGCTCTTCCTAGTTTTACCGTATATTTTATACAGATAGAACAATCAAATCACCAAAATTAACTGATTTTTTAATTCTACAAGTTGAAGCAGCGAAAAGTATTAAATAATGCTGAACGCCAAAAACAATTTCGTGCTAAAAATGAGCATTCAGTAATAGATCAACTCAAAGTAGCTTTCATCAACTGAACGTCAAAGATTATACAAAGCAAATAAGAAATTACGACTAAAAATACAGAAACTGAAGAAGAAGAGTTTACACAAACTCAAGAAGAGCAATATGTACACCCTCTCGTTGAAGAATATTAAATGTTGCAACTAAAAAAGATATTTTACATTCAAAAGAAAATTGAATTACACTTTACCTATTCCTGATCTATTTATAAATTATTAAACCAAAAATAATAGTAAAATTATAAAACAAAATTATTATTGCCATCATGCGTTAAACAATTCGATATTTTATGTTTTCTATAAATATATGAAGTTATCACTTTTGTCGAGCGTCCCGTGACGCACACCATTTATTTTTTAATTAAAACAGAATGTGTACTTTGCCACCTTGTAGGTAGCACAAAACGAAGCTGTGTTCGATTATGTGTTTATATGACCTTTATCGCTTAAAATTGGATTTTCTGACGACCGTTAAAATCTTGCTACTATAGACTGGCTCACCCTGTAAATTTTTGAATTTGGCGGCAACAGAAACGTCATGTCTGAAGTCCGGTTTCAACCAATAAGATCTTGGCCATTCTCAAGTCTCCCGAGTGTCCCAAGCTTCAAAATAACCCTCCCTCTGTCCCTCTGAATCGAAGTGTTGTTGAAAGAATGTTTACTCACGGTTTGTCTGGCTGGCTTTTTCGGAATTTTTGTTCAACAGCCTGGATTTCCTCGGCCTTGGTGGCACTAAGGGCGCGTTTTCGCACACCGACCCCTTGCGGTTCGGCCATAGTTCTCTTTATTGCGTTTAGCAATTTGCCAGTCGGCCAGAAAAAAATATCAATTCTGTCCCGATTTGGGTCAACTAATCGGACCAATTTCTGTACAAAATGGTCGGATGACGGGCCTAATTTAATGGAAACAACCCGCACTTTGTACCTTCGATGATGGTTACAACTCGACTCAATCTAGATAAAGATTCAAGATATTTTTGTGAGTACAAGGTTGCTTGAGGTCAACACATTGGAGATATACACAAACGCACACCATCAGCACCAATCCCGACAGTGTCCAACAACTCTAATAAAGTGAAAAAAAAAACAACATAAAAAGCTTTTAAAAATGTAAAAAGTTTCGGAAAGAAAACAACAAAGAAATACACTTGAAGCTAACCTAATTTTGCATAGTGCTGGGTGGTAGGATCGAATCATATGTAAACAGAAGCGGCTAGCGCCAGAATATGAATGAACACAGAGGTATAACATACATAAATGCCCAAGTCGGTTATTTGAATAGACGCAAATAAATAAAGATGAGAATCATACAGTTTTGAAAGTTTATTAGGCATTTTGTTCACAGGCTAGCGATAAATGGGTGACTTTTTGCGAAATTTTAGTTATTTTAAGCGATAGTTTCAGTTTCCTTTATTAAATTATAATTGGATAAACGCCCACTAACAGAAAAACCATCTCTAAAGCGAATGAAGAAACAATAAAATCTAAGCAAGGAATTTTCCCCAATACTGTATAAAAAAATGTGCCAGTTTTTAAGTTTCAAAAATAATTTATAAATAATTCAATTGGCTTTCAATGTTGTAATTTAATTTCGAAATTAGTAGTTTGAATAGTTGATTTTATGTGGGTTTATTTTTAAATTTGTTCAGCATTTCGTAGATCATGAAATTGGGTTTACAAGGTATCTCAATCTGTTCGCAAACAACCAATAAATATTTGATTTCTTGCCAAATGTTAATGACTTTGAGAGGCAGCTAAAAACTCCGTGTTTTGTGTTAATATAATTTAGTAAAATTTGATCAATTTGATCAAACGAAAAAACAATCTCTGAAGCGAATGTTTGTTCCCTGCATCCTAAGATTCAAAAATTTCTGAAGAGGAAAACAATAAAATCTAAGCAAGGAATTTACCCCAATACTGTATAAAAAAATGTGCCAATTTTCAAGTTTCAAAAATAATTTATAAATAATTCAATTGGCTTTCAATGTTTTAGTTTAACTTCGCGACAGCTGAAAAATCCGTTTTTTGTGTTAATTTAATTTAATAAAATTTGATCAATGCATACAAACGAAAAAACAATATCTGAAGCGAATTTTCGTTCGCTGCATCCTAAGATTTTAAAACTTATGAAGAAGAAAACAATAAAATCTAACAAAGGAATTTAGCCGAATTCCATATAAAAAATATGTATATTTTCAAGTTTCAAAAATAATTTTAAAATAATTCAATTTGGCTTTAAATGTTTTAACTTTATTTCGAAATCAGTAGTTTGAATAGTTGATTTTTTGCGGGTTTGTCCTTCAATATTTGTAGGTCATGGAATTGAATGTACAAGGTACCTAAATCTGTTCGCAAACAACCAATAAATGCTTGATTTCTTGCCAAATTTTAAAGATTTTAAGCGACAGCTAAAAACTTTGTTTTTTGAGTGAATTTAATTTAATAAACTTTAGTAAATGCATTTAATAAATGCATACAAACGAAAAAACAATCTCTGAAACGAAATGTAGCTCTCTACATCTTAATAGTGGAAATATTAATATTCTGTAGTTTTGATAAAAGTAAACAATAAATTGGCACAATTAATTGTAAATAAAGATGGCGATTAAAACTTTTGCATCCGTGCAGGTTTTCAAAGTTCAAAATAATTTCTAAATTCATCTTGGCTTCATGCTTTATTTAAATTTCGAAATTGGTAGTTTGAATGGTTGATTTCTTGTGAATCTTCAGAGATAGTTTTTGATTTATTTCAAATTTTTATTAAGCATTTTGAAGATTTAAGGATCTTTGTATTGCGTTTACAAACTATCGAAATCTGTTCCCAAAGACCGATAAGATAAATGGCTGACAAACAAATATGTATACATACAAAAAGCAATCCCTAAAGCCAATTCTAGCCCATAGACTCAACCATTGATAGAGCGGAGCGAAAAAAGGTAGATAACAATATGTTTTCTTTTCCGCATTTTTTCTTTGATTCTTCCTTTTCCTCAACTTTTTCGTTTCCTAAAGGTCCATTAATTATCGTTCTTTTGTTGGTACCTAATTTTTTGATGGCTTGAATACTTTAAAGGCCAGACGCAAATGAAGATGGCCCGAAGTCGCTCAATGCGCTTCAGTATAGTTTGTTTGGTTCACAAGTCAGTTATTTGAGGTCCACATGTGAAAACTCAGTTAAGATCTTACTGTGCTTAAAGGCCATTTGATTCATTTTTATTTACGACAAAACCATTTTTCGATGGCTTCAATAATTTAAAGGTCAGAAGCAAATGAAGATGGCCAGATGTTAAGTCGCTCTACGAGCTTCAGTTTACATTCTTGGGCCCGAAACTCAGTTGTTTCTAGTGGCATTCTGAAAATTTTAAAAGCGATTTATTTCTCTTTCTTTCACGGTGAAAGTTTATTTGACGACTTCAATACTTTAAAGGCCAGGTAAATGATGACGTCCAGATCTTAAATAGCTCAATGCGCTTCAATCTTGCAGATATTTATACGAAAAATTAATTTGAGTAACGTTTGACTGAGCATCTTAATTTCAACGTAGATTAGAATAGTCATGTTGATGACCATGTCAAAATGTGACCAAAAATCGACGTCGAGTATTGCTGATCTAGTCATTTTAGATAATTCTATCCTTGAACAAAACGAAATGCAATTTTATGAAGTACTTGCTAAATCTATATGCATACAGGGTGTTTTGAAATTGCTGTACAGGACGTAAAGAAAACTTGAAAATTATTCAGATTTTCTATAAAAATTACTACACTTTCACTGAAAATAGGGGTGATCATGTCGTTTGAGTCCCCCCGAATTTTTATTTTGTTCTTATTTTACTTTAAATGAAGCAGTTCCAACGGAAAATGCGTGAAAAGTGTTTTTGATTTATTTAGGGGCTGAATGTGCTTAATTTGAAGTGTTCTTTAAGGTAAAAATATAAAAAGCTAAACCTTCGGAGGCACTCAAACGATCACGTAGTCTACGGTTAGCATACTCCCTTAATTTTGATTTTGCCAGAGTCCTCAATTTGATTCCTCACAGCTCGTGAGATGCCGATTAGGGCACTAGATGGCAGTAGCTGATTCCATGACATTTAGGTCAATTAAACATGTCATGTCATTGGTCAACCAGGTAAATATGAAAATTTATTTTTAATTTCTCTGCTCCACATTATAATGGTTCCAACGATTTCTAAATTGCATTAGTGGTTCTCGCCAACAGTGATACCACAGTCGCATTTCATTAAAATTTCTTCAGGTCTAAGTTTCATCAATTTATGTAATATAGGTTATTAGCTGGAGCCAGTTTATTTTCACATTCATTGGGCCCTCATTTTGAGCCAATAATGATTGCGGTTCATTGTGGTGAGTAGACAAACAGATCAATAATAACAATAATGTTTCTGCGAAATCCGAAAGTTAATGATTTATTCAACTTGCAGGTGCAGGACGTTATAACGATTCCAAGCAAAAAGAATATGGAGCGTTATGTAGAAAGGCTTGTAGAAAAGCGATGACAGTGCTAAATAATAATGGGACAGCCTTAGAAGCTGTTCGAGAAGCCATAACAGGTAGTCTTATGCGATATAAATAAACAGCGTTTCAGTCTGAAATGCCTCCAATTAGTTTTAGAAGATGATCCGCTGACGAACGCTGGATTCGGATCAAATTTGACTTTAGACGGCACTGTAGAAGGAGACGCTTCGGTAATGAACGGCGAAAATTTATTATTTGCCGCTTGTGGAGCTGTGAGGAGAATAAAAAATCCCATTTGCCTGGCCTACGATATTTACCAAAGACAACTAGAACCGACTCCATTAGGTAGGTATATGAATATAAATAAAACTGTCGTTAGCCCTAAATTAAAATAACCACAGAAACAATAAAAAGAACAAAACACTTTCGATCACTAACATACAAAGACAAAGGAATTAGAACAAATACCGCGACAAAAATATACAAAGCGATTTGCAGACCCCTCTTGGAATACGGACATATACTCATGGCCAACGGAACAGAAAGGACAAAACGATACGTACAAACAACAGAACAAATTGCACTAAGACTAATAACACGAATAAGACACCCCCAAAACCCACTGCACAACCCTTCCAGCCAGTGTTGGGCAAAAATTGATTTTAATTCAAAAAATAAAAAATTACTGATTTATTTAAATTAATCAAAAAATTTTTTTTATTTTTATTAAATCAATTGATAAATCCGCTTAATTAGCTGTTTTAAAGTCATTACAATTGTTGCCGAGAACATTCAAGCGAAGTTGAACCGATTCAATACTTGTCCGAACGCATTTTCGGCGAAAAATTCTTGTCGCAACGGCCCGCGACTCGTTTTCGCACGTTGCACGGCGTAATCTATAAATGCCGTCGCATTTCTTCGGTCTTCTTCATTTCGTCACAAAATTTCATGAGAGGCTAAGTTGAAAAGTGTGTAGATTTTTTGTGTCTGTGTAATAATAATAAGTCAGTTTGAAAAGAACGCAATGGCTGGAAGAAAAGAAGACAGTATTTGGCAGTTTTACATCAAAACCAGCTCTTCTAATAAGTCAGGATGCAGAGCAACTTGCAAACAGTGTAAGAAAGAGATTCAGGCATAGTACAAAGACTGGTGAAGGCAAAAAAGTCAGGTGATTTCAATCATGATTGAAATCACTTGAAACAAATCAAGCCAACCCTGCTTCCAACCAACTACTATACGAACGCACAAACATGACAAAAATTTCGGACAGACTAATACACTTACAGACAAAATGGACAAACAACCCCCACAACTGGACCATACTGAATCCCTTTTGCCTAAGAAGACAGACAAAACACTCCCGTTTTCGTACCCCAACAGATACTTTACTAGAACACCTACAAACGCAACTGAACTAAGTGCTAAGATCTGTTTGTTTTGTAAGCCAAGAATTTTTTTTTAATTTTTTTATAGCTGATTAATTTATACGAGTGTTAGGAATAGGAATTAATTTTAGAATAAGCTAGGCTAAGACACATATGTACTACACAAGGGCAGAAAGACCGATTGGGTCGATAGGCTTTTTCTATAGGAAATAAAGATTATTTTTATATATAAAATAACGAGCACATTGTAGATCGTTTCCATTTCCAGGTCTGGTACAACCAAGCGTAATGGTAGGGGATGGAGCATACAAGTATGCGAAAAAGGCAGGAATTAAGATTGTGAATGAATCAAAGCTAGTCAGTCGTAAAGCGTTGAAACAAAGGGAAAAATACAAAGCCATGCTTGACGGAGTTATTTCGGCTCAAGAGAAAGTTGACCAAAACCGAATTGATGAAGTCGAGATTGAATTCAGTGAGTCTATGGATACGGTTGGAGCTGTGTGTATTGATGACATCGGAAATGTGGCAGCCGGGTGCAGTTCAGGTATTTACGCAACATACAGTGTAGTGTGTATGAGTTCATTAGAATCAAAACGACAATCGGGAACATCAATTTCAAACTGGCCAGTAAATTAGCAAAGTAAATTGGCTCTTCAAGTCAATTTTAAGTTAACATTCAATAAATTGCAACTAGCGAAAACAATGCATTGAATGAATGGCTTAAAGATTTGCCCTGCATTTACAGGTTCCGTAACAGGTCCTTTTTCAGGAATTTGTGGTATTTCTGTTCGGTCTGTCTGATTATTTCGATTTTTATCAGCGAGTCTGTAGATGTTTTTTCTGCCTTCCGTGAGTTTCTTCCGTATCACTGTTAGGCACTTATTTAACTCATTACTTGAGCAAATTATTTTTTATTGTAATTTCTAACTTTTTGTCTGTCAGATTTGGAAGGGGCGACTGAATCTGGCCCAATTGTTGGCAGATTTTGCGAAATTTTGTAATTGTTACTATGATTTTACTTGATCCGATAGAGGAAGTTTTGTTGTATTTTTCCTGCAAATGTTGGCTTTGTAGTAAATTGTGTGGGCTTTTAACAACTTTTTTATAATTTATTGGCTAAAATGGCCATCTGTCTTTGATTAGGTTCGAAAAGTGCTTGAACTTGATCTGTGTTGAACGTGAAAGTGATTAGGTAGAACGTACTATTGTGCTAATTGATGAGCAGGTGTTGATTTTCTAGTAAGTTTTCTGAATTTTTGACAATTTTGTAGTTTGATGTTGAAATCGCTATTTCGGCATCAAACGGCAAGTAATTTTTCAAAAATTTCCCAGTGAGGCACTGAGAAGGCTGCTTTTTACCTCATTATGTAGAGAAATGTTTACTCTATTTGACCTGCAAATTTCAATTTATTTCGGACTATGAGTTTTTTGGCATTTTTTTAAATTTTGATGTCGAACTCGCCAATAAGTTTCTATTACATTCATCATCACCGTTATCATTCTGTAGCTTCACAACCCTGGGTGGGTTTTTGCCGACTCAACCACACGTCTCCATCATTCTCTATCAAGCATCCGATCGGGGCCATCTTCGATATTCATGGCTTTTAGGTGTTTTGCAATATTATCTCTCCATCTGAGGCGGAGCCGACCTAATGGACGTTTTCCCCCTGGAACCTCCTCCCACACCAGTTTTACCATTCTATCATCTGGCATTCTTTTTACGTGTCCTGCCCACTGTAGTCTCCTGGCCTTTATTTCGTTTATTATGCTGGTGGAGTTCTTGGAGTTCTTGGTTGGTTTTTATTCTATATTGCCCTGTATTTTCGTCTCTAGTTGGGCCGAATATTTTTCTTACCACTTTCCTTTCAAATACCTTAAGTCAGTCTTCGCTTGCAACCGTTAGGGTCCAGGTCTCGCATCGATATATTACGACAGGCCTTATAATTGTTTTGTATATGTTCAGCTTAGTTTTTCTGGTAAGGATTCTAGATTTTATTAGGTTTTGAGGAGCAAAGAGGCATATATTTGCAGCCTGTATCCTGGTATGGATCGCTTTTGTGATGTCGTTGTTTTCACTAATACTTGTACCCAGATATTTAAATTGTCTTGTCCGCTCAAAGTTGTAGTCTCCGATAGAGAAGTTTTGTCCTACTCTATCTCGGTTCCGATTATTTGTACTGAGGTACATATACTTGGTCTTGTTCTCATTTATTTTGAGGCCTATTCTTTCAACTTCCTCTTCGAACTTTATGAAGGACTCTTTGAGGTTGATCCTGCTATTGCCAATCACATCGACATCGTCTGCAAAAGCCAGGAGCAGGTTTGGTCCCTCTTGATGAAAGATAGCAGTTGGCTTCTCGATTTTGGAATTCCTAATTACATATTCCAATGCTATGTTAAAGAGTCGAGGTGAGAGGGCGTCACAATGCTTGAGACCATTACTGATACTGAAGGAGTCGGAGAGACTTTGTCCCACTCTTACCTTACATCGCGTATCCTCCATACATACTTTTGTCAGCGATATAAGCTTTTTTGGGAATCCAAGTTCTTGCATTGCTTGCCACAACTTTGATCTACATACTCTGTCGAATGCCTATTCGAAATCAATAAACATTTGGTGGAGGTTTCGGTTGAATTCCCAGCATTTCTCCATTATTTGTCTAATGGTAAAAATCTGGTCTGCGGTGGATCTATTTGATCTAAAACCACATTGACAGTCCCCAACAATCTCTTCGGTATATGGTTTCATTCTCTCTAGCAGGATATTGGAGTGTATCTTATAGCATGTATTCAGAAGAGTTATTCCACGATAGTTTGTGCATTTACTTTTGTCTCCTTTTTTATGTATGGCCTTATGGAGTGTTTCTCCGCCAGATTTTATGCATTCGGCAGGTATGCCGTCGCTGCCTGAAGCTTTGCTATTTTTCAATTTATCCATTGCCTTTATTGTTCTATTACATTCGGCAGGTAATTAAAAAAAAATTCACTCTATTTGACCTGCAAGTTTCAATTTATTTCGGACTATGATGAATTTTTGGCATTTTTTTTTTAATTTTAGGTCGAACTCTCGAATATGTATGTATTACATTCGGTAGAAACATTTTCAAGAAATCTGCATTGGGGAACTGAGAAAGCTGATTTTTACTTCTTTGAATAGAGAAAAATTCACTCTATTTGACTTGCAAGTTTGAATTTATGAGCCACTTAGATGATTTTTTAAATTTTCAGGTCGGTATCGTCGATAAGCTTCTATCACATTCGGCAAGTAATTTTTCAAAATTTTCCCAGTGGGACAATGAGGCACTGAGAATGCTAATTTTTACTTGTTTGTATAGAGAGCCACTTAGAGGAATTTTTGACATTTTTTCAATTTTGAGGTCGCCAATTCTATATTCTATTCTATATTCTATCACATTCCGCAGGTAATTTTTCAAAAAATTTTCAGTGGGACACAGAGGCACTAAAAAAGCTGTTTTTTACCTCATTATATAAGGAAATATTTACTCCATTTGACCTGCAAGTTTCAATTTATTGCCGACTCGATATATTTTTGACATTTTTTTAAATGTGTTGAAATCGACAATGATTCGCTATGGCATTCGGCAGGTGATCTTTAAGAAAGTGACCAATTTGAAATGAAGCCAGTCAGTGGATCGCATTTCACCTCAACGTATGGAGGCAGATTTGCTCTATTTGTTGTGGTAGTTGGGATTCATTGCTGATTTGCTTAAAATTATTGGAAAAATTTACCACACCATTTTCTCGATTTCTCAGTTTTGTTGCCCAGTCCTCCAGGTGAAGGAGAACGTTTCTTTGTTTTTATATAGACTGAAGAGCCCAAAGAATCAGTTGCAACACCTCCCAAAAAAAAGTGTTATTTTACCGCTATCCATTGACCGGTTTAACCCAAACATCTTTCCCCAAGTAGCCTATTTTCTTCTGTAGGGGGACTACTGTTGAAGCGGCCGGGAAGAATGGGACAAGCTGCTCAGTACGGTTCAGGCGTTTGGGCGGATAGTTTGGACAAAACGCGCCGACCGAGCATAGCGGTTTGCACGACAGGTTGCGGTGAACACTTGGTACAAACACTTCTGGCGAAAACAATCGCCGAAGATTTATTAGTCGAGAAAAACTGTCCAACCGTTGATCTACACCACTGTTTAAATGAGAAGTTTATGAATTCCAGGTAGGATTTTGCGTTTTTTTTTATTGGGAAACTGACGATTTTATTTTCAATCTGATTGGCCTTAGGTATTTAAGACGCATTGAAACAGCTAAACTTGGTGGGGCGCTGGTATTGAAGGCGGACAATGCTAGTGGTGAGGTTTCCTTAATGTGGGGTCACAGCACATATTGCTTAGGGGTTGGTTACATGAGGAAAGGAGATGTGCGACCTCATGTGAGTATAAATAATAGTATAGCGTGAATAGCCAAAAATACCTAAAATCGGCTAAAAAGTTTTCAAAAATAAATCAATTACGAGATAAATTTTGATTTAATTCTTACTGGTGAGTAACTACGCCTATTCGATGGTTGGAAGCTTGAGCGTTTCTTCTCCTGTGAAAGCACGGATTTAGGCAGTTTTTAAAGTACTGTTCATAAAGTAAACATTCGTCATTATTATTGCCTTAATGTAAGTGCATACATGTTATTTTCTGTATAAAATACCCAATCTACGTTTCACGAGAGCAGTCGGCAACATGGCATGCAAGTTTGTTCATGTTGGAAAAATGAGATTAAATGTGCAGAATGTGAACAATTAAGTAATTGGGAAAATAAATCACTCTATTTGAATTTCGAATTTCTGCTTTGATACAAAAGGTCTACAATGGAACACTCTAATTTGCGTCATTTGTACATTAACTAACAGGATGACATGGAAAAATTGACAGAAACTGTCAACACTCACAAATAAGATGACAATAGCAATTTAAAAAGAGCTTCGGACAGCGGAATTTGCTCTTGCGCATTATCGCAACTTCCGTGAATTGATTGAACAGATTTGATGACAGACATACGTCAAAAACAGCAAATTTCCGTCCCGCTCGGCCCACAAGTAATGAAAAAAGATGGACAATTATTGCGTCACTGCCAATAAACACTGGGCAGACTGTCTTTCTTTCTTCTATCTTTTTAGATAGTTTGATAAAAGACCAACAGCTTAGTAAAATTTTCTGTCTGTGTCTTCTGCTTTATATTTAACAATTTTTAAAAATTAGTGTATTTTCTGATCGGTTAAAAACAGCGGTTGTTAGCAGGTGCCAAAATAAGCCGATTTAGCCACATTTATCTTAGTCAATACGCTGATAGTAACGACGATTTGGCGATAGAGGGCGTCAAAGCTGCAGGTGAAAAATTCATTTTTATTAATATTATTTGAACGGTAAATTAGAACTGGATGAAATTTACTTTACGGGGGTTTTAAAATACGCGAAATTCACATCGTTTAACTATGTACTATCATGTTCTTAATAGGGGGCGCCACTTACAGCTCCGATTTACCGTTTAATTGTGTGATACTTTTTAATCTGATACTGTAAGTGAGTTTTGAATCGAACACCTTATTTGCCCATCATTTTTCCGCATAAAAGGTATCCCTTATTGAAATTGCTAAAAACGACCGTTTTCGAGAAAAGTGCTTTTGAAGTCATGGATGCCGAAGATTAATAATCTTTAGGTGGCGCAAGCCTTCTGTCAATGACGCAACAATTGTCGTTCCTTTTCTATTGCTGGAGAACTGAGCGAGACGGAACTTTGATGTCATAAGCGTGTTTTTTTTTTCATGTTTCAAATTAATAACGAAACTAATAAAACTGATTTATTTTCCCGATTTATTGTTTACATTCTTCAAACTTAATGTAATTTTTGAAACTTAAGTAATTTAAATGCCATGTTGCCGAATGCTCTCGTAACAAGTGCATTTATTTTTTTAGCGACAATTTTATAATATAAGTCGGTGATCGTGTCGTTTGTGTCCTTCCGAATTTTAAGTATTTTCGTTTTTTTGTCCTTAAAGAACACTTCAAATTTATAATTTTCAACGAAAAATTCCGGGATGGTCCATAAATTAAGCCAAAAACACTCGTAAAGTGGGAGAAAAATCTCCATTTTCAGTATGACTTTCCAGCGGCGTTTTACTTTTTTATGTATTTTTAAGTTTTATTTAAAAAATTACTATAGTATAAAAAGTTCTGATTTGAAAAAGTGTACATCCATTAATTCTAAAAGCGCGTTAGAACAAAAAAATTTTTTGGTACCGAATTTAAAATTTTGTGTTTCAGACCCAAATTTCTATGTTGCCAGACAATGCGGAGGAGGGCAAATCAGTGAATGTTGGTGGTACCGCATTTTACTTTAAGAAATTAAGCTGAAATTCCTGATTAGATATGATTCCCGAAATCCAGTTTATTTTTGTTCGTTTTTTTTTTTTTTAATTTAGTTTTTTTAAGATTTTTAGTTATTTAAACAACTGTTACTCGCCGAATAGATAACGAGCTTGAAACAGGCTCATCCATTTCAAGCTTTGCATTTTATAAGGAAGGATCTGAATCAATTGACTTCAATATAGGGCGTTTCAGAATTATGGGATCAAACTTTTCAGTATTTGAGAGGAAGAACGCTTGCCTGGAAACGTCTCCTAGGGTCTTATGAAGCTTTAATTTCAATCTGTCAAAGTAAACTTCAGTTATATAAACTTCTGGCGTTTCAGTAAAAATCTAACAAAACATTCTGACTAGTTTATGTATATAAGTTCTATATTGTTGAGGGGGATTCATTTTTTTACAAGCTGCTTGTTGGGTATTTCGACTCAAAAATTTTTGTATTTAAAAATGACATAATCTTCTCACGTCTTTTATTACAGATTGATAAATAGTGCTCTTATTTTGCAATAAGAACGAATTATTCATCAAGAACTATCACCTAGAGGGTATCCTGCGAGACACTTAGGCTTAAGCTGTAAGAGAAAACTCGACTTTGACTTAATCTCATTGTTTAAACTAGCGTAATCTGTGAATCCATGTTTAAATTTTTTTAGAGTGAATTTTTAATAACTTCTTTCATTTAAAAGATCATTAATGTTTTGCTCATAGATATTATAATCCATGTTAACGGTCGCATTACCTTTATCAGCAGGAAGAATTTTAATCGTTTTATCTTTTTGTAAAAACATTGATGCTTTTATGTTTTTTTTTAGTTTATGTATGTTTAAGTACTTTTCAGTTACCGCGTGCAAACACCAAACTTTAAATTAAAGTAATAAAAACTGAATGAAACATTTTACATTGATTTTGTACAAATGGTATTACGTAGTAGACATTTCCGGGTATGGGTTCTTCTAAGCAACTGTCTTCTCTTGACCACCCTGTACAACTTATAGTCAATATAAAGTCGAATCATATATATATTTTATCAGTTTTATAATCCAATTTACCGAACCTACAAGACAACGTTGGATGATATGATTAGAAAATACCACAATTTTTTTACTTTTATATCAAATATGTTTTTTATTCGTTTAATTCGTCAGAGCAATGTATAATTTATTTTTGTATTATTCCTGTGTACAACTTTTGTTTTTAACGAATATATGGCCATCATTGAAAGCTTTTGAAAATTGCCTTATTTATTCATAAATTATTATTATAACGCAAATGAAAATACATGGTTTATACAAATGATTCTATAAGGAATAATATTAAAACACCAACATTAAAACCGAATTAAAACAGAGTGTCGGCAAAAATGTAGGAATGATTTCGAGTTCATGCAAAGGTTGTCAAAACAGCAGAAAATGTTACTACAAACAAACAAATCTACACTGCCCCTCTGAAAAGACTTTTTTTAGCCATTTAGGAATTTTTTTACATGCCAGATGCTACTACCGATCAAATTGTACTCACCATTGCTCATAATGTTAACACTATTTTAAACACATTGAAGGTTGAACTGAAAACCTCTGCTTTTGTTTGACTGATCAAGAAAATAAACCGTTTTCCAGGAAAAGATAATTTCAACCACGCAAATTTACATACTTTTGCCCAATACAATTTTTGACTGACTGACAAAATTTTCAACTTGGACAAGAAAATTCACTACTGCGTTATTAAATAAATTAAAAAATATTCATTTATGTAAATTTTTAAATCTTATTTTTGAACTCTGTAGTATCTAAACAATGTTTTTTTTCAACGGTTTTTGAGAAAAACACACGTTCAAAGGATCCGAAAAAATGAGCCAGTTTTAATATAAACATTCGGATTAATAGGAGATCAACTAAAATAAGAGTATAAAATGCGGCATGACGATACGCCTAAGTAAATAATCACAAACACGGTGATCGCCGCGTCTCTGAAATTATTCGTATTTGTGTTTTTGTGCATCATTTGATTAATTTGTAATTTATTCGTGACTATTCGCAAATGGGCGGAATTGATCGAAAGGTTGAGTGAAAACAAAGGAAAGTGAAAAAGTGGGGCGATGCATACAGATAGGAGGAGCCTAAGCAGCAGACCTTTCAGATCCTCCGAAGAATCAGAATCGTCAACAAACGCCTTCAGTGCGTTCTCGAGGTTGCCGGTCGACTGGACTGCAGGCAGTTTGACTTTAGAAAAGGCTTGGGAACAGTTGATGCGGTTGAAGACTGATAAATGAGGTAAACGAAGGCAAACGGGCCGGAAAAGATCAACTAATGGTGCTGTCGGACATCAGTAATGCGTTTAATATGGCATGGGCTCCAGTAGTTCTGCTGGAATTACGGAGGATAGGCGTGGGGAAGGCATGAGGAAGCTATGCTGGAGCTTTCTGGGAGATGATACGCTAGACTAGTGCGGAGTGGACTCTTGTGGCTTGTCGCCTCGTTGGACTCTCCCTGGCTTGGGGGAATGGTTTAGGGCGGTAGATCGAGTGGAGTGGCTGTGGTCACTAGAAGAAGGTACGTGGAGAGTATGGGGGACAGAATGTTGGGGATGACCGCCCAGGTCTACGCGGAAGTGTTGATGCTGAGGGCTGCGTCAATCAGAATTTCAGAGAGCGAATGATGAATTTGGCCCCACGGCATTGCGGATTGGAAGGGAACGGATTGAGCCTTCGAGTGAGGTCAGATATCTTGGCGTTGTGCTGGATGCCAAGTTATTTTCCCTGGAAACGCGTGAAACGAGTGAAAGACAGCGGGGTGTGTGCTATAATGAAATGTGTGAATGAATGTGTGCAGGAGAGGCTTAGCGGTTAACAGAGAGGTGTGGAGGCAGTATGAGAGACTTATAAAGTGTGCTGTAATGTATGCAATGCGAAAGAGGAACACCATAATTTTAATGAAACTCGCGACTTACACAAAAAAGTACGAGACCTTGTACGAAAGTTTAAACCAAAGACATCCTCCATCGAAGACGAAAACGTTGCTTGTCAGGTAATGTTTTGTGGGAAGACAGGGATATACTGCAACGATGGAAACAATATCTACTGCGAAGCACTATATAAAGAGGAAGCAGGCTAAAATAATTAGGAGCAGACACGTCTCACGACAGATAAACCGGAATCTGATATACTAAGAAGCGAAGTGGTAGGCCATAACACGCCTTAAGTCAAGCAAGGCCCCAGAAACAGACGACATCGCAGCCGAGATGATAAAATTACTGGGAAATGAAGGAATCAAGATAGTTGACTGACTCAACAATGGCCGAAATACTACACAAGAAGGTTAATTTATTAATTTATTCTGAATTTTAATTAGATTATTTAAGTGTTGGATCCAACAATGACACATGGAGTTTATATAAAAACGGCCAAAATAAACTATATACATATACATATATATATAAACATAAATACATATATATATTATATACATATATATATAAACAAAAAAAAACAAAAAAACCCAGGGGGAATTTTTGTTTTTCTAAAGAAAAAGTTACAGTTAATAAAAAAAAAATAAAGTTTATTAAAAGATGCAAAACAGTACAGCAGAAGTAAAATGCGGTGTTTCCGTTATTGAGCTTTGTAATGCTGTAATTTCAATGTTACCAGCAATACTGCAAATTGCCGAAGTAATAGGACGACGTCACAGTAGGCCGAAGTCAAGGTTTTCGTCTATTGCTACCCTCCAATTACTCGTAAATATCAAAAGCATACCGAAGATGGTTCATTTAGTCCACGCTCGGTTTCCTGCCGTGCTGTTTAACGAATTCCCACATGAACATCGCTCCGGCGACGTGAACATTTAAAGAACGAGTCAGGCCAAACTGTGGAATTTCCAAACAGGTGTCCAATAGCGGAATTATATCCGGCGGAATACCAGTCTTTTCATTCCTACAAAAAGTCGTTAGGCAATCAGTCAAAAATCGAAATCACACAAAATCTCACCCCAGCACTAAGGCAATTTTGCGTGGAAAGCTGAATTTATCAAGCTGCTGACTTCCCACAGTCTGTTCGGCGCCGATAATACGATAACTTTGGCTTTTCAGTGCCCACAAATAATCTCGCAAATCCTTCACTTTCACTTCAAACCGGTTGATCCAACTTTCCGATGACATACTTAAACTTTTGAACTCTTTCTCATCGGTTATTTTTGCATTATGGAAAACGACGTTTTGGATGCCGAACACTTCGCAAGTTCTACTCAATCCGCCCAGGTTTTGGGCTTTGTCTATTAAGGACGCCACCAGAATAAAATCTGAGTTCGCTTCCGTGCTAGTTTGGTCCAAAGCAGTTTTCCATGGCACTATCTTGGTCTGTAGCTGGGACATGCCATTCATGTTCTCATTGGTTTCCAGACTATCGCATACAGTTTTTCGGGTAGAAAATGTTTCGGTCGCTTTGCAGAATTCGATATGTTGCAATTTGTCGATGTATATTTCCGATGTTGAATTATCTAAGAGGAATTGTAAATTTTGCCATTCCACTTGACCAACCTTATTCAAGCGTGGCAAATCACAGAACAGACACAACCACGGAACGTGTTGATGCGGGTGAAAATATTTTAAGACAATCAAGTCAAGCGCCAAAGTGTTCGTATAAATAGCGCCCGTTTCTTTCAGCACACTGTCAATGCAGCCGGCCAGATGCTCGTTCCTGCTTACGAATGTGGTATATTTCATTTTTCTACCGTGTTCGATCAGTCGTTGAATACAAACCTAAAAATATAATAGATATAGGGTGTAGGTACCAAGTTATTCATTTTTGTCATGGATTTGTTGTTATAACATTGATATTTAACCGAACAAGATTTAAAACAGCTTATTTTCAGCTGGTGATCTATCTGTACTATTTCACAGAATTCAGCTCTTTTCAGATATTGTTCTGCCTCCATTACAGTATATCCTAAACTAAAACTGGGTCTAAATCAAACTTGAACTAAAAATAGGAGTCAGAGCAGAAAGCCTGATTGGGTCGATAGCCTTTTTCTGTAGAAAATAAAGACTATTTATATACATATTACATAAATATATAGGAGTCATTCTACTGACACAGCTGTCTCGGGGTCTTTAGGGGTGCAAAAATAATAGTGAAAATATAATTCTCACTGAGACAAGTGGAAAACACGAAATCATAAATTTGGCAATAGGCATTTTTTCATTAATAATTAGTAAATACCCGTTGTTTAATGCGTAAATACTAAAAGGTAATTTGGAACTGAAAAGTAAACATAAAAAAGGATGTCATATGATCCCTCTAATCAGCGGAGGAGAAATGTAGATATAGAATCCAGTTCCAAAATACCCATGTTTTGTGAAGTGCAGATTGTATCATATAATTGTTAAACAACGCTACAAGATCGCAATTGACAACATGGGTTTTCATTGTTTGTAAGAAATAATGTTTGAATCTGATAGGTCAGTTTAACGTCCCAAAACGATTCCTTTCTAAAATAGATCACCAAAAATATTCGTGAAACTTTAAAACGGATACCATGACGGGTTAGTGCTTGTTTCTAACTAGTTTCCAAACACTAAACAGGCGTAATAGCGGCGTATACCGATCGGCTTCTTTATGACCAGAAATAAGCAGTAAATTCTTTTTTAACATTGCTCGAAAATCTTCGTTTCAGTTTTTCAACACAGTTTCGTTCGTCTATTAAGTCGAAAAGCTGGCAGACTTGCAGTCTCGCTAATAAATGAAAACTATGCATGTTAGCCATTTTATATTTTGCAATGTTTAACCTTAACAGATAAGTCCGGCCCCCCTCGCTTACCCCCGACCAAGGGAGCGGAAGGACAAGGAGGCGAGCAGAGGGTGCGAAGAATCTCCGGTACAGGATAGACCATCGCCATGCCATGACCATCGCTACACTAAATACCAGAACGTTATCAAAAACCCAGAAGCTACAAGAACTCTGACATATCAAATGGAATATACTAAGAATAAGCGAATATAAAAGAACAGAGGGGAACAACTAGCACTGCATTCAGACCATTTGCTACACTATAGAGGGGGCCAACACATAAACGAAGGGGGAGTCGGGTTTCTAGTGCCCAAAATGAATGACAACGCGTCACCAAGATCCACTGTATCAGTAATAGAGCAGTGTACCATGAGATACACTCCTTACATTGGTATTTCGCGAGGTGTACGCCAAGGAGATGTCATATCACCAAAGTTAATCACATCCCTCCTAGAATAAATGTTCAAACCGGCCAACTTTGATGACATGGGCATGACCATGAGGTAACATAGATGGCGAAAAACTAAATCATCTGAGATTCGCCGACGATATCTTAATTATTGCAGATAGTTTGGACGAAGCAACACAAATGCCATGAAGACTCTGTTGGACTCAAACTCAACACCAACGCAACTCAATACATGATAAAACTTGTTATAAGTGAGGCGGAGCGATTAAGTAAGCTCTTGTAAATACCTTAGCCACGAAATCTTTATTGGTAGAGACAACAAAACGCGTGAAATTTCGAGAAGAATAGGCCTAACATGGGCGGCCTTTGGAAAGCTGCGTAACATCTTTAAGTCAGACGTGCCAATATGCTTAAAAAGACAAGTTTTCGACCAGTGCGTGTTGCCTGTGCTTATGTACGGGGCTGAAACACTTGCACTAACAAAGAACGCTACAAATAGAATAAGTATCGCGCAGAGGAAAATGGAGAGGTCAATGTTAGGTATAGAGCTAAGCGACAGGATCCCAAATATAACATTAAGGGAAATGTCCGGAGTGACAGAGGCCGTTAGACGCATACAGAAGTAGAGGCCGTCCACCAAGCAGATGGACCGACGACATCAAAAAGATAAAGACCAACTGCATAGAGGCAGCGCAGGATCGGCAAGGATGGAGAAGGTGTAGGTACCAAGTTAAGGGCGCACTATGAGTAACTTTTAAGCAGAGCGTAATCGAATTATGGTCACGAAATTTCTGTTTCTTTTTAATTGGGGACTTTTTCGGATACAACGAAGAATGGACAAAGAATTGTACATTGTAATAATGTCCACACCGCAGTTGTGGACGAAACGTCAGGAAGAAATTCCCATAGACCACGGCTTCAAAGCCCGAAAAACATTCCTAAATGTGATTGAGATAATTATCTGAAAAGTTTTTGTTTTATTTACAATTAACATCGTGCGTTTAGGTTGGACCACCCTTTATAAAAATTGCCGAAAACGATTCCAACATTTAGCATTCTTCTTTATGCGATATGACATTTTGTCTTTATCGCATAAGTGTCAAACTGATTACTTGAATTTGACATTGTCAATGGACACATTGACTTAATAAATTGACCACAGACCTGAGAGTAGACTCGACTCTTTAATTGGGGCCCCATAGTCCAAGGCAACAGCACTTCGACGACTGCTTGAAGAGCGTTTTCGTCGCCTAACAAAGTAAGATGGTAAATGGCAGGAACTACACTTATTAAAACTGCAGGCGACATTTCAGGAATCGACTTCATCCATTTTATCACTAGAACCGAAAAAAACAATCCATTATAAAGCGTGGTCAGAGTAATTATACTACTAGCGTTATCACACCTCTACAGTAACCATACTACCAGAGTAAGTATACTGCTATAGTAACTACACTACTAGAGTACGTATACTTACGTAAAAATACGTCCTTTAGCAGGAAAATTAAAATGCAGTTTAGTATTTGCTTGATGCAGTTTTGATTCGACTCTTCTTGCAAATTTTTCAAAACAAAACAACTAGTTCGTTCACGTAGATCTTCTGGGAAACCTTTTTCAGACACTAACAGTAGCATCGCTTGCAGAATTCGTAACTTCTCATAATGAATCTGCAATTTTAATATAATGTAAATAATAATATTTACAGGAAACCCAAAAAATACACTTTTAAATGCCACCCATAAAACAGTACTGGAAAAAGGATCCGTTTATATCAAATGATGTAATGTTACTGTTGAAGTGAAATCAATATAAGATTCCAATTCAATTGACACCAGTCACGTGAAGGACACGTAGTAAAGTACGTCAAAATCACCAATTTCGCAGCGACATAGCAATGGGATATTCACGACAATTTGTTACAGTATGAAGTCGGACGGTTTTTTCAGTTTTTTCTTAATAAAGAGTATGATTTTCAAAAGAAAATTTTCAATAAAATAATTTATAGTCTTCCGTGTCTCCTTTGTCGAATTCCATAATACAAAAATTAAACTTTTCATTCCCCCCATTTTATTTAGATAAAGGGTGTGCGCCTTCACCCGGCACCACCGCAAGTCAAGGCCCACCGCTCAAGTCAGCGGTCAGTATGGCCAGATTGGACTACTTTTCGGAGAGTTTTGCTATGAAAATTTTGAGAAAATGCTGGCAAAAAAATATATATACACTTTAGGTTCATCAAACGTGATGAAATGAAACATGTGACAGTTCGCATCACAGGTGAACTGCGCACTTTTTTTCAGGCTCAGTACGGCTGCGCACGCACGTTTCCCAATATCATTTCAGACTCATGAGAACCAAGTTTTAACCTACCGGTAGTGGCGCAATAAAGTTCAGATACCCAGTACTTTCACCGATAGATGTCGTCCCAACGGGGTTGTGATAATATCAGTGCAACTTGGGAGGTGTTCGAGTAGTAAGCAATTTCGGTTTCAGGAGCCGGCGCGACTAACTTCGTTGCATTAATTTTCACTGTGGTTAGTGGGAGTTTGAGTATAGCGGTTAGAGGAAGCTTGATATGATCAGTGATATGGGAGAATACGAAAAAGAACAGGAGTATTTGCTCTTTAAGAGAGTACTGCTAACTTTAAGAGAGTGCGGAATTCGATAGTGAGGATGGTGACTAATGAGTCAGATAAAGAAGAACAAGACATCGAAGAAACTTCGGATCATCAAAGTGAGTCAGAACAGGATATTTCCGAGCAAGAAGACAGCGCTGTCGACCAGTCTAATGGTCTTGTCTCTATAGGTATGTGAAATTGTTGCAATATCAATCTATGCAATATTGAATATCACAGGAATTAATTGTCAAGTCATATACAAATGCAATAATCCAGCCAAAAATCGTTTACGGCGACGAATTTGCTTGAGAGAGATGGCAAATAGTCTAATTCTTCCTCATTTGAAAAAGAGGGCGAATCTTACTAGTCTACCAAGGACACTGTAGTAGCGACTTATGGAAGTAACCCGCACTGAAGAAGGGCGCCTCCAAGAAACGCCCACTAGAGGAAGATGTACGCGCTGCGGCACCAAAAAAATAATTGAAAAAGCCGTTTTTCGTGTTACAAATGCAGCACATGCAACATGTGCTTAGAGCATATTATAGTATTATGTCACAGCTGCAGGAAACCTGCATAAAAGCTCATTTGCAAAGAGTTTAAGAGTTTTCTTTTTCATATGGTGCCAAATTTATTACCCTTTTAGAATTTACTTCAATCTTTGGTGTTTTTAACCAAAAGCGATAAATTTAAGAATGTGTTTTTTCATTTTCATTAATTTTTTTACCCTTGTTATATTCGTATTAATAAACTTGAATTGATGTTTTTTTTGCTAAATCGACTTATTTTAGTCCTAAAAACCTATACTACTAATGACATAAGGAACTTAACTGACGGGAGTTTGACGGTTGGGTGCTTTTTTACGCAGGGCATCAAATGATCTTGACGCAAGTATTGACCAATGACGGTCTGCCTGAGTTCGCTCCCCCATGCCGACTTCACCCCGACTCACCGGTAGATGGACGTCACAAAACATTCAACATGTCACTTATTGTGTCAAAGAGGTCATATTGACGTGATTATAAGGGTAAAATGTCATAGTGAGTGGATGAGACAAAACATTCAAAATGTCACTGCTTATGTTGTTTTGGTGTCAAGTGTTAAGTAAAAACCTAGTTTTAATGATCCAAATGCAGCAGAAACGGAAACACAAGTTGATAATGGCTGCCAAAAATAGAAACGTTGTATTATTGTATAAGGAGATACGTTGTCGTGCGACCGAATCAATCGTCTTCAATTATCTCTTTAAATAGAACAAGAAAAAAATTTCAAACGTCTTCTCCATAATCCAAAAAAAATACCAAGACAAAAAATCTTGATAAAGAAAGTTACTGTCAGAAGAACATGATTATATTCTTACATGAATTATTCCAAGATTAGCATACGAAACTGATAAAACTTACCTTTGAATCAGGAAAGTAACGTTTTTTGAAATAGAGCTTGTATCGTTCTTGTAAGATATTCAGAACGAGCTCAGGCTCTCGCTTTCCTATTGCCAGTAGATTTTTCAGTGCGTACAGTCTAGAGGCAGCAGACTGCAGATTTGGACTAAAAAATTACAATAGATTAACCTAACTATCGACAGTTTTCGTCAACAATTCCGATTTTTTACATTTAATCCGATATTTACTCATTTGCTAAAGCTAAGAACAGCTAAATAGTTCCCGATGGTTAATTTATGTAGAAACGATTGGATTGAAAAGTTGTTAATCTAAAGGTGGACATAATTGGTCACAAGTCGCGTCCTTTAAGAGCGCAAATTCCATCACGTACACGATAGTGCAGTAAATATTGTGCATATGATAATCGGTTGGAGGACTGCAAGAAGCCCGTTCCTTTTCTTTTTTTCCCTGAACAAAGGCTCCCTCAAGGATCCCCGCTCTTACCCTTTCTCTACAGTATATACTGGCATGACATATACAATTACAACTTACCAGACAAAAATCAAATCGACAGAACGGTATACATATTACAATACGCTGATGATACGGCACTTATTGTACACGACAAAACTACTGAAAAAACGACTGAAAGACTCCAAACACTAACAAACAACACAATGACATCGCGCCAAACGCGACAAAAAAACAACTTCTGCGCACAAACCACAGACTCAACGCTGACTCCCCTACAATAACTGCAGACGGCCAAACGACGTAAGGTACCTTGGGATCACAATCGCTCACAAACTCAAATTCACTAAACACACAAGAAACATCAGAACAGAAACGATAAAAAGAACAAAACACTTTCGATCACTAACATACAAAGACAAAGGAATTAGTACAAATACAGCGACAAAAATATACAAAGCGATCTGCAGATCCTTCTTGGACTACGGACATATACTCATGGCCAACGGAACAGAAAGGACAAAACGATACGTACAAACAACAGAACAAATTGCACTAAGACTAATAACA